TTGTTTTTGTTTGAATCTAACGAACCTTCAAGTTGCATTAAGTTTTGAGCAACTCCTACTTTTATATCAATTTGCTTTGCTTCAGTGACACAGATAATTTCTTTAAACCCACTACCTACTAATTGCGGATAAATTTTCTTTATAGTATAATCTACCCTGCCAGCAGATACATCTCCAATAATCTCAAACTGTGAACGAAGGATGGTGTTTGGAACTAAATTTACTGCTGAGACTAATATCAACATAATAAAGTGGCTTCGCTGTGCTTTATTCTGATCACCCACATTGCCAATCGCTGACAATCTAGCCTATAATATTAAGTAATGAATCAATATATTCAACATACACACAACGGTGTAAAGAAAATATTGTAACTCAAACCTTTATTTCCTTTACACAATCCTCAAATACTTCCTTATAATTTTCTTTATTTTCACAATTAGGAAAAAACACTAGTATACTACGCACTTCGTCATTGTCAATTCCATGTTTTTGGAGAACCTCTCGCAAATTTTTATAACTGGAGAAGCACTTCTTATCTAATGTAACGATAAATTTGATATTTTCTTTTGTCTTGAATATAGATCTCACGGTAACATCATTGCTTAAAATGAATTTATTGTATTTGATCACAATTTCATCATGTGTCATTGCTGGAAACTTAAACTCTTTTTGTACATAATCTTGCAATAGTTTCAAAGTTAGTTCTGTCAACGAATAATATGTTATCGATATTATTTGGTCTCTCCTGTTGCACTCTACTGTTTTGTTTTCTTTTACTCGATATTTGAAAGTTACATTGCAAGTTTTTGGTCCTAAAAATTAATATATGTTAAGCAAACATACAATTTGCAAGTTATTCTACGACATCTTTGCATGAAACAAATTCTAATGATACTTTTGAAGATAAAGAGAGCGAATTTCTGGAACGGGTATATAAAGAACAGATTAGAAACAAAATAAGAGAGAGAAACTGGGAAAAAAAGCTGTTACAAAATAATGAAACATCTACTTCTTGAGATCAGAAACTGATACAAAAGAGTTTTACATCTAAAATCGATCATAATGTTTCAAAAGAACCGATTAGTCAAACACAAAGCACCACTTCTTCCGAAATTAAAATTCTCTATAATCAAAAAGTTGAACAAGGTTTAATATGTGAGTTATCTACATTTATTAATGAGAAAAGTCTTTCGAATTCTATATCTGATAAACAAATTCTTGAAAATATGCTTGATGGAGATGATTTAACTCCGGGTTCTGCATCACATTT